TATAAAGAAAAATATGACAGATTCATTTAGCTAAGTGTAATCTAAGCTCCTATAAGCTTTAGTTGAATCTCATTATTACTACCTAGAATTAATATATCTATATTTATTTAGAATTACCACCAACAATAACATGTCTTCGTTTACGTAATATCCCATATGCAACACGTGATCATGATGTAAAAACATTTTTCGCTGGAATTGAAGTAGCACAAGATGGTATTTTATTTAAATATGATAAAACAGGTCGACCAGCAGGTGAATGTTATGTACGTTTTGGTTCAAGTAATGATTGTCGAAAAGCTTATGAAAAGAATCGTTCACAATTTGGTGGACGAATATTAGAATTACGACCATTATCATTATGGGAATTTCAAGCAGCTACATCACAAGAACCTGATGAAACAGGTGCAACTTTTTCAGCAAATGGTGGTTTAGGTAGACGAGAACAATTTGGCAACAATGGTGGTGGTGGCGGTGGTGGTGGACAAATGTATCATGGAGGACCTATGAGTGAAAAAAGAAAATTTCCTTATGAACGTATGGATGATAATGGAAATAATGATGATAAATCACCATCTGATCCACAACGTTTTGATAGAAGAAAAGGAGATTCATCAAGTCCACGTGGTGGTGGTGGTGGTGATGGTGACAAATCACCATCAAATATGATTGGAGGTGGTTCAATGGATGATCAAAATGGACGTAAAATGATGAGAGGAGGTGGTAATAATAATAATTCATCATTTATACAAAAACAATTAACACAATTACCACCTGGTTATGATCAATATCGTGGACAAGTTTTATTAATGTCAAATGTTCATTTTCGTGCAACACGAGAAGAAATTTTACATTTCTTGCATTCATTTCATCCAATTGAAGATACATTAAAAATACATCGAGATAGTTCTGGTCGACCAACAGGACATGCCGTTGTGGCTTTAACCAATGCTGATGATGTACCACAAGCACTTAAAGAACTTCATAATTCATTATTTCTTCTAAGAAAAATATCCGTTTGTGTTGTTTGATAAATTAGTTCTATTCATCTTCTTCTTCTTTTTCTTTTTGTCTTGGATGTACAAATGATTTCCTTTTATTTTTCTCTCTTGGATCTCTTTTGTGTCGATCTTCTTCTTCTTCTTCTTCATATACAAAAATATATATGTATGGATTCACATTTTGTTTTCTCTATTCTGTTGACTCGAAAAAACGTTAAAAAAAGTATCTAAAAGCATTATATAAATATGTATGTATACTTCTTTCTTGTCTGTCACATTTTTTTGGTGTTGTTGTCTACTCAACTGTCTTTTCTTTCTTATGTCAAGTGGACAAAGAGAATAAAACTTAAACAAAAAAAAAGAGAATATAAAAATCTATATTGATGATGTACATATATGCAAACATAGACGTATGATATCTCAAGTTAAAAAGTATTTTGTCATGTGTTTTTTTCTCAAAGGAAATTAAAAAGTTTCGCTGATATACACGCCAAGTTGACAATAGATTTATATATATGTAGAAAATAAAGGATTTCATTGGCATTCTGATATACAACGTTTATGTAAGTAAATTACTTGTAAAATATTTATGATGGGCCTCATAGAATAATCTATTATTTTCTAATCAATTTAAATAATAACTTGATAAAATATTAGTTTACGTAATGGATGGTGTGGGTGTGAGAAAAAAACAAGTAAGATTATATCCATTAAACACTGCTTGAATTCTCTCTTGGTATAAATTGTTTTTTTATTTACTTGAAACTCTATGAACTACCAAAGAGTAAAATATTAAGAGCCAAGAATTCTTACATTGTCTATTCGAATGAGATATGATTAAAGAAATAAAGATTGATCCTCGCTTTTTTCCCTTGTGAATTACCACGATAATACTTTTAACCTATAAAATTTGAATATTGTGAGAAGATATTTTCAATCTTGATCTGTTATGTAGATCAGCAGTTTGTCAATGTTAATTGAACTAGGACTATCACTTACATAACCTTGATAAAAAGTATCATTAGATGAAATTTGTGTCATTCTATCTTAATGTTTATTATTTCTGATACCACATCTTATGTCTCATGAACATGGTCACAAGCTTAGCAGTATACTATAATTATCATCTTCAGTATTGTTCTCTAAATTGATTTTAACTATCAATCTTATAATCGAATAAAAATTTATGTATTCCATGGTGAATGTAAGTTATAAAAAAAACAGAAATTCAATAGATTATTTTTTCACATTCACACCTATTGATAGATCATGATTAGATATTTTTAATTTGAAGATTAGTATGTATCAAAATAGAATTTATGACATATGCACACAGATTGATGTTCCTATTTTATTTTCGACAAGCAGGTGCACTCCCACGAGTCGCATCAACAGCAATAGACCGTTCATCCTTGAAGACAAAAATGTTCATTTTTGATTACATGTTATACAGTAGTCAGCTGCCTATCGACACACACGTCAATTGACAAACAATTGTCCATTTCTCTCTTAGGATAAAAAAGAAAACAACAACAGACGTTTGATCTTTGACCTGTAACTGAAATAATATCAATGTCCATTTTTTCTTTTGTTAGTTTTTAAAAGTAACCGACCTTGATCATGAACAACTAGGTTAATACATCTGTCCATATAGACAAATAAAAAACGGAAATAACTAGTATTAGTTTTCTTTTTGTATATGTATAGGCAAAAAAAAACATATCTATTCCGGGTGAATTTCATATTTTATTTTCTCAATCAATTCAACTTGTAATATGATCTGATCATAATCACCGCAGGGGTAACAACATCAATTTTTTTTCTTTGTTAAGTAGACTACTTATACACATTTGAACTTTATTAGAACTTATCTGACCACTCGGCTGGTAATTTTTGTTCAGGTATAGTCATAATCATTATACGATTATATTGTTGTAGTAGAAACACCACATGCGTATATATCGTAAGGATAAAATATTGACAGGCGCGCGCGCACACGCGCATGCATGCATACAATGATGACTTCTTATGTTCATACATACTGCGTTTTTAACGCACAATTGACATTTGCTCAACACATTAGGAGGTCCATGATGCAATATATATGTATGATTATTTTTATACAAGCACCAGCTACTTTAGTCAATCATTATTAATAATTTTTTTCAAAAATAAGAACGAAAGAAAAATATTTTTCTTTGAAATGTACACACATATGTATTTTTATTGTCACTCAAAATTCTTTTATTGTTGATATGTAACTATAACAGGATGTGTTTCCGTTTTTGTACATGTCTCACTGATGAACGATAATAGGAGCACGCTTATGTTCCTTTTTGCCATCTATGAAGGTCGTACAAACATGTGTGATTGAACTTTGCTTTGCTTGATAGAGTCTGTTAGAGATTCTTCTTCTTCTCTCTCTCTCTCTCTCTCGTCTTATTCTTCTCCTTTCTCTTAATCTATATGAGAATGACACTATGTTCAGAAGGTTTGATTAGTTTCTTTTCTACATTTGCTTAACATATCGATTAACGAATCAATTTGACCAGAACAAAAGAAGGTAGATATCTAGTGATGGGAGAAAGATACTGCTGTTGGTTCATCTTTTCTTCTTATATTACATATTAAGTCTGATTTTTTCCTTCTTGTCAAATCCATTGTGGTTTATATACATCTTACGTAAGATTAATTTTTAGCTCGATCGATTCTCAATGGATGACGTTCAGTTTTTTTTTCCAAAATTATTATGATTAGAAACTACACGCGAAGCTGACCACCTTTTTTCTTATATGGTCTTACTGATTAATTGTCCTCTCACTTTCTCTCTTTGTGTCGTTCTCTTGTTGTTATTATTATTATTAATATTATTCTTACTTCTATACACCTTTCTTTTTCGGCTGAATTTTTATCTCATATTTCTTACTAACACATAAATCCTTTTTTTCTTTGTCGTCTAGGTAAAATATAATAGCTTTCGTATATATGCATCATTAGTCTTCTATATGTTATGTTGCATGTGTCAATTTCATCTTAATCTCGGAAGTAAAATTTACTTGAAAGCCCTTCCCTTACTTCAGACATGCAACACTACAATATTGTAAGAGTTCTCATGTTCACTAGTATGATTATGTATATATATATATATATAGATCTATCTATATATATATATGCAGCCTGATGACATCCTATCAATTAGAGCTTAATCGTTGTGCGTTTATTTTGACTAGTAGTAGACGTGTGTCCATCTGTGATCACTCCCATATATCAATAATCATTACACCAGTTGAAAGAACTACTAGAACACCTAACGTATGTAACATAAATCTCTAATAGATGCTGTTCAAAGGGATAATTATTGTCTATAATAGTAAATAGAATTCATCGTATATATGGCTTCATTTTCACGTCTATAAAAAGAATGAACATGATGAAGAAAAAAAGAAGAAGAGATAAACAGATCATACTTAAAATAAAACAGACCGTCTTGTGTATAGATAATTATAAAAACAAAACAATAGAATGACTCTTCTTCTTTCTTTCTCTCTCTCTCTGTTTCTTCCTTTCTCGTGTCAAGTTTTTTAACGGATAGGCTATTTCCGTTTTCTATTGCATAAACTCGTTGTCCCTTGTGTGTGTGTATATATGTGATGAGCGAGTAAATACAATTGACCAAATCACTTAGAGATAAGAGTTTGTGAACGGACGAGATCGTATAATTGCGTGACAATGATGTTCAAATAGAACAATCGAAGTAAAAAGAAATCTCGTCCATCTAAAATACAGCTGGACATTTTTTTTCAAGAAAAATCAAAAGTCTATAGAGATTTGTTTCTTACCATAAATAAATAATAAAGAAAAGCTCTTAAATCCAAACGAATATTATTTGCTATACGTAGTGATAGTTCATCTACCTTTTTTTCTTCTCTTCTTCCTTCTCTTCTCTATTTCTCTCTTTCCCATTCTAGATAGATATATGTCAATACGTTCATTTCTACAATGAAAATGCCATTGAATCTATTTATATTTTTAACGTTTCTTATTCCATATTCAACTTCAATTGTTTCACAAATTTTAACATCCGTATCAATCTTTGAAGAAAGTCCAATATCAACAATTGTTGTTGATCTTCGACCAACATTTCAAACACTTAATGTACATCCTGATCAAGCTGTTTTACTTCATAGTCAACCAAGTCAACCATTTGAATATATCAATGGACGTATAAGATTAAAATCACGTTTAGATCGAGAAGATTATGTTCGAAAACGTTTATGTCTTGGTGGAAATGTTCTTGAATGTAATTTTACATTAACATTAACAGTTAATCTTAATCAAGCACCATTTAATTATATCCTATCTCAACCAATATCATGTCATGATATTAATGATATAATACCAAAATTTTCTCAATTAGAATCAACAATATCGATGGCGGAAAATGTACCTATTGGACATCGTATACCACTTGAAACTGCTATTGATTTAGATTCACCACCATATGGTATTGATCATTATCGTTTAGTTACATTTGAAAATCATGAACAACATCAATTTTCTATTGTTTATGATAATCAAAGTCGAGAATTAGAATTAATTGTTAATGAAAAATTAGATCGAGAAAAAATTGAAAAATATATTTTTAAATTAATGGCTATTGATCGTGGACATCCACCAAATATTGGTACACAAATGTTAACAATTGAAATTAGGTAATTACATGTCTTTTTTTTTTATTGAAAGAAAATATTTGTTTTTTTGAAGTGATATTAATGATTGTCAACCGAAATTTGAATCATCTGTTTATAATATTACAGTTGCTGAAAATACTTTACCGGAATATTTACTTAAAGTTCGTGCTATTGATACTGATATAGGTTCAAATGCTGAATTAACCTATACACTTGAAAATGATCATAATGGTCTTTTTCTTTTGGATAAAACAACTGGAATATTAACATTAACACATTCACTTGATTATGAATTTCATACATCGTATCAACTTAAAGTTGAAGTTCATGATAATGGTGTTAACTCATTAAGTGATACATGTATTATAAATATCTATGTACTCGATCAAAATGATCATGCACCTTCAATACAAATGAAATTTAATCCTAAATTTGAACATAATCAAGATGGAAACATGGCTTATGTACCTGAAAATTTTGATATTCATTTACCAATAGCTTTTGTAAATGTACATGATCAAGATTCTGGAGATTATGGAAAGGTATGAAGGAATGAATGATTAAAAAACATCTCTAGATATTTGATGACGTAATTCACTGAGCTATAGTTGAAGTAAATCTTTCTTCTATATAGTACATAGTTTAATCGAAGAATATATTCTGAAATATTCATAAGTTTTATTATAAATTCTAACTTGATTCTAACGAATAATAAGGATATAATATATAATATATGCTTATTTGAGACAGAACTGAACGGAACATTAGACTATTTTTGAAAAATGATATTTCAAGACATACATTTCACAATATGACTACTCAAGGTAAATGTTTTGAAATTACCAACAACATGTTTAATGATCCAAATCAAAGTCTAGAGAAGGAGTTTTTTTTCTAACAGTGTACTATCAATTCCAAGAGCATGATCGCTATACATATGAAATAGTCATTGATGTTAATAAGCTTAAGAATAGACTTATCGGATTTATGAATTCAAATAAGTGAAATTACGAACACGTGTTTTTTTTTCCATTAAGTATTAAGATAGAAATATTTCTTTAGTCTCAATTAACAATCGAACCAAGTCGTCTATTTTATCTTGAAATAATCCGTCCAAATTATTATTCAATCAAATCTTTACAAGGATTTGATCGTGAAACAACATCAACATATCAAATTGAATTACGTGCTCGAGATTTTGGTCAACCAAGTTTACGTCGTTCAATGACATTTGATTTAAATATAACTGATATAAATGATCAAAAACCATTATTTAAAACAAATTATACATTTGATATCAATGAAAATAATCAAATTCCAAGTGTTATTGGACAAGTTAATGCTTATGATGCAGATCAAGGTCTAAATGGACAAATCAATTATTCAATTGAACCACCAACACCCTATTTTATTATATCATCAATTGATGGAATTATAACAACAAATACATCATTTAATTATGAAACTAAACGTCAATATAATTTTCAAGTTCGGGCACGTGATTATGGTCAACCACCACTTGAATCATTTGCTTTTGTTGAAGTTAATATATTGAATTTAAATGAATATTCACCTGAATTTGAAAAGAAAATTTATTATTTTATTATTAATGAAAATTCAACACATAAAAATTTAACATTTATTGGACAAGTTAAAGCAAATGATCCTGATTATGGTGATCATATTACTTATTCATTACATGATGGTGAACCTTTATTTACTATTGATCAAAATGGAAATATATGGACGGAAGCTATATTTGACCGTGAAGAACATGATGAGTATAAATTAACAGTTACAGCAACTGATAATTCAACAGCTGGTTTAATTGGAACAACAACAGTGATTATTAAAATTCAGTAAGATTTATTTACTTATTATTTGTTCTATCTATTTTCTTGTATATTCATAGGGATATTAATGATAATTATCCAGTCTTTATCTGGCCTGATCCTGATGAAATTCTTCATAGCCTATCCGGTGTTCAATCACAACGTACTGATCCAGCAAATCCATTATCACAATTTATAACTGATATCGTCGTACGAGATGATGATATTGGAAATAATTCATTTGTTCAATTATCCGTTACAAATAATGAATTATTTTATATTGGTTCAAATAATTCTTTATGGTTATATAATTCATCGATATTACCTGGAACATATGATATTGAAATTGTTGCAAAAAATCTTGATTTAATAACAAAAAAAATCTTTCATGTTATTATTTATAATCGTAGTTCATCAGGAACAAATCTTTTATATTATATGCGTCGACGATTTTCCGATTTTTCATTATTAATTATAATATTTTTATCATTTATAACAACTGGTTCAACGATATTTTTATTAATTTATTATTTATGGATGCGTTTACATTATACCGGAGATGTTAAAAAACATTTATATGGTAGTCGATTAATTGTTAATGATGAAGATAAATCGAAACAAAATAGTCCACAAACTAAAATGAATATTTTATCAACTAATCATAATCATGATTATGCAGTTATTGTTAAACAAAGAAAAGTATGTTGCATTATTTGTTTTCGAGAAAACATTGACCTTTATTGAGCATCTGTATATGTAAAGGAAATCGAGTAAATGATGATGATGATGATTATTTTCTTGCTCAACTGAGCATATGAGTATTGTTTAAAATGACCCATGTGGGAGTTAATGAATGATCTTCTGTTTATACTAATATGATCAGATTTAACAATCACTTGTATCGTTTGGTTTTTAGAATTCTCAAATTCCATCTGGTAATAGTTCATCAACAACTGATGGTGAATTTTCATCTTCACTACTTTCTTGTCCGTTAAATGGTACATTATCATCATCAATTGATCTTCATTCTTCACATCAAAATCCTCCATCATCAACTGTGTCTGCTCTAACAACGTTAACACGAAAAGCAACACGTCGTCAACAAGCAAAAAATGTTAGTTTTGAACCAACAACTATTAATCCAACACATAATTTATTCGATGATATATTTCAATATAATTCATCATGTTATCATGAAACAACTCCTTCATCAACATTTAGTACACTACCAAGACAAACGAAACGTGATATATCGATATTAGGACAGCAACAACCACAATCTATTCTTAGTGATTCACAAAGAAATCGACAAAATGGTTTTCCAACACTGCAAACTATTCTTAATCCATTAACTAAAGATAATCAAACAAAATATCCTCAACCACCGCCATTATTAAATGGAATTCGTTTACTTGATCAAATGCTTACAGATTCAGCCGAATCAAGTGATGAAAGAACTCAGACATTATCACCATCAGGAGCTAGTAATAGTGGATGGTATAATGTCACATCTAATTATCAGACAAAAGCGAGCATTGTATAATAAATATATTGTATGTCTGTACGTGTGTGTGTGAATGTTTACTAGTCGTTGTCTTCTTCTTTTTTTTTCTTATCATTGCTTTATTTGTATAGGGCTTGTTTTGAAGAGAATAATAACAATAATAATGATTTTTCGCTTTTATGTATAAAAGTTTTTATAATTATGAAAAGAATAGAATAAGTTACAAGGTTTAACTTCATTGTATTGATTAGTATTTTATCTAGCGTGATATTTAGAAAATAATATTCTTTAGAGAATTATATTATTTGTAATTACTATGTTAACAACTGTGTGTCGTTGCCTTCTCGAAGGTATGTACATGTTTCCTTTGAGAGAGCTGTTGATAATAATTTTTAGATTAATCTATCCTTTACTATGACTAAATCTGAAGGTCTCGAACAGAGTCTGATTTCTCTCCGTCAATGATAGACAAAATAAATGATGTATATCAATTATATTTATTGAATATTCGAAATTATGAGAATATGGTTATAACTTCTCTTCCACCACCTTTAACAAGAATACATCGATAAATTCCGGCACATAATTGATCAACAAATTCAATATATGCATAATCAGCATTAACATTTGTTCTTGGAACTTTAGGTAAATTAATAAGAACTAATTGTGCATTACGTGATCGTTCAAGAATTGTTTGATTAAGTCGAGCTGCTGAATGCATTTTATTTCGTACTTGTAAATCTTCAACAAGTGTATATTCCAAACGTTTTCCTTTCGTTATTTGACCAATCGCAGATGGTGTAAATGTATAATAAATATGATCGTTATCTAAAAGTAAATGAATATCTGTTTTGTTTTATATGAAATTTTACTTGTTGGATGTAAATGATTTTCTCTTTCGAAATTCACTTGTTTTTCTGTTCGATCAAATGGATTTGAGGATTTCGAATTTACAGTTGTCATTGTTCGATATTTTGTAAATGCAGATATTTCTTGATCGGGAACAGTAATAGCATAAACTTCAGCTTGTATACGTAAATTATAAACATATTGTTCAAGTTCATGTTGTCGTATATGTTGTTCTTGATTTGGTAAACATATTGTAAATAAACGTAATATACATTTATTCCAAACATGATGTTGTTGTAATAAAAATGCTAAAAGGAATAATAGACCACCATCATGTATTATCCACCATATATCGATATAACCAGATTGAATATCTAGTAAACTAGGATAAGAATCGATATTTTTAAGGAGTAATATAGCAAAATTTTTATTTTCAGCTAAACGAATAGAATCAAGATACGAAACGATTGTATCATCAATATGACCATCAAATTGATATTTTTCCCATGATGTTGGCCAATCTATAGAAGCATTTATATTACAAATAAAGATAGGTATATAGGAAATACTTGCCAAACATGACCTAAATGAAAATAAAATCTTTTGGTAATTGAAATCATTTCTTAGAAAGAATTCCTAAGATATTTTTCCCTTTTTATACTGTAAAAGCCTTGAATACTCTCAATGCATACAGTCTGAAACACACAACAGTATCGACTACTTATAAATTTATTAGATCAATCGGTGATTGATTAACTGTACCGTATTAGGACGAAATCCACCAACACCACTTGTTTGCATCAATGAATTAATTCCATCATAAATATTATTCGTAACAAGTACATCAATAAATCCATTTAAAATTTTATGTGTAATCATTTGTTCTTTTAAATACTGACGTAATTGTTCAGCTATATCACGTTTTTCGTCATATTTTCCTAAACAAAAGTTATTTAGAAGCAAAAAAACATTAAGTCAAACCTTGTATAACAGTTGCTACAATAACAAGACCTTTTCCAGCTTTTAATTGACTTAATAAATCAAGTACTTTCTCATGTTCAATCATCCATCGATGTTGATTTTCATTATATTTACATTTAATAAAAGCTAAAATTTGTGGTCGAAAATTTTTTGTATGCATTGGTCGATCATTTAAACGTGACAAAGCTACATGTGCTATTGACATTGGTAAACCTTTTAAACCTTCACCCCATTCTTTATTTGCTCCAGCATACCAAATATATAAATAAACTATAATACCAATTGTTAAAGTTATTAATGCAAGATACCATGATGATATAAGCATAACAGAAATACAAACAACAACACCAACAAATGATAATAACCAATGATAGAAACGAAAACGTGGTCGCCATGATGGTTCATCTATATTAGAAGAATTTATTCTAATTATTCAATAAATAATTTACATAGACATGACCCAAACTCAAATTCAAACCGTTTGGGAGTGTGGGTTTGGGTCTTCTTTTAATTGCCATCAATGTATCAAAAATAGTGTCTTCTACAGATTAGAAAAGCACAAACCCAAACCGAAACTCAAACTCATATACCCAAACCCAATCTGTTTGACTTTGGGTTTGGGTCATGTCTGAACTTACGTAAAAGAGTTTGAGAATACAAACAAGATTAACTGATAAATAACACATAAGAAAAAATTCAGAAACAATTGCTAAAGAAAGACAAAAAGTAATAATGATATATAAATCAAATAAATATACTTGTAACAACATCTAAATTAGCTACGAGTACACTTATTTCTGATAAAGTTAATGTAAATAATAAAGCTTTAAATGGTTCATTTCGAAATGTTGATTGAAATGGTTTTAATATTGGCATAATATCATCTTTTGCAACTGATTGTAATAAACGAGGTGCACCGATTAAACTTGAAATAAAATTCATTTAGAAAATAAAAATTCGATTTATTTACCATTGTAATCCAGCACCAAAACAAGCGCATAATGCTCCGATAATAATAACATATGGCGATGGCCAAGCAATAACAGCTTCGACAAGTTGTTGATTAATACTTAAACCATCTCGATCACGTAGAAGTATACCTTGAATTGAACAAGCAAGAAGAAATGCTAGGAGAATATAGATTACAGATGTTGTTATTACAGCCACTAGAAATATTATAAGAAAAAAAAATCTCTTTTGAAATTACTAAATCTTACATATTGTTCCTCGAGGTATAGATTGACTTGGATCTTTGAGATCTCCACTTCTATTTGATCCTGCCATAATACCTGTTACACTTGGAAAGAAAATGCCAACTAGAAAAAAACAAAATTGATTAATTATTATCTTTTATTCCCTACTTACCTAAAATAAAAAATGATGTTGTTGTTTTACTAACAACTTCTACATTTGAATCTCCTAAATTATAAAATTAAATATCCAATCCTCACGATTTTCTTAACTAACCGAGAATGCCATTTTTTAGTTCTTCATCTTTCATATACATTGATTTAAAATTATTTTTAAATTGCCAATCTTTTAAACCAGGTATTCCATTTATTAAATAAACATTATTTAAATCACTACAATCGATACTACTACTAATATTATTCTCACAGATAGCTTGTCGAAGTGGACAAATCTCTCCATTACATGTCATATTCGAATGACAATAACGTATAACATTATTTTTTAATATAGATGATTTAAGTAAATGTTTAACATTATCTTTTTCAATAATACATATGGGTAAATAAATAGGTGATATAGCACTTTTAATTATTCCAATTAGAATAGACATAATAGAAAGAAAAACAATTAATAAAGTAAATGGAGCTAAAGAAAAAGCAAAATCAATTTTTCTCATTGATAATAATTACGGATTAATTTACCAATACGTGAAACAATTTTTATACCAAGAAAAACAATAATACCAAGAATACAAAGTAGAAGTGTACCATATACACGGTAATGATTAAATGCACTTTGTTGATTTTCAATTGAAGCACCAAATAAATGACATCTAAATATATTTCTATCAAAATAAAATAAAAAAACCTATAATTTACTTATTAGGACATGTATATTTTAAAAGAATTTCACTTGCACCTAAAACATATAAACCACCAGCTAAAGCATTGCCTACATAAAATAAAAATCCAACAGCACCACCAACAGCTGGACCTAAAGATCTCGATATAAGAAAGTAAGAACCACCTGCTGGAACAATTCCATTCGTTGCAACTGAATATATAATATTAATTAGTTTGTTCAAAAGGAATTTTCTTACTTGCAGCTAATGAAATCGCAGTAAGAAAAGTACATAAACAACAGAGTCCAATAATAATCAATCCTTCCATTATTCCACTCACACCGATAACCCAATAAAGTCGAATAAAAACAATAACACCAATAATATTTTGTACACATGGAAGATAAACACCAAATAAAGTATTTAATTGAGCATTGGAAGATGAATCAGATAGATTGTCAATAGTAGACATAAATGTACCACCTTGATAATCATATAAATTTTTTAAAAACCCAGTTTCCTTTTCAATGATCAATTCTGTTTCAGTCGAATTTTCAATATTTTCAGATTTTGATGGATGTTGACGTATCGATTTAGAATATAAATCATGTTGATATTGTGACTTTAATTCAGGTGTTGATGATACTAAAACAACGACATATAATCAATATGATTTTTGTTCTGATCTCATCTCTAATACCTTCATCTGTTTCATCAATATGAATAACTTTGAATCGACCTTTAGTACCTACAATTGATCCAGTACGATCTATATTTGTTACATCAGATACAGCAGTAACAAAACTATCGATACTCATTTTATTTTACAGCTATCATATATTCATTAACGTTTTATAGAAGTCTTATATAGAAAATCCGACAGATGGCTCTGAATTGTATTGATTCACTAGTGACAATTACATTTTTTAAAATCAATAGAAAGAAAAAAAAGATTGTTGCCAAGCATCAGTCTATATGAATGGTAATAGTTTTTATCTTCATTCGTTTTTCTTCTTCATTTAAACATGACACAGATCGTTTCATCAAAACCCTATTGTCTTGAAAATTCCACAAGATTAACTCGACCTGCTTCGGAAACATTTTATCGTATTGCTGGTCATAATGTACCAACAGTTATTGATAAAAATCAAGCGAAACGTCTGTATCGTCTCCAACAAGCACCTAACTTAGACACTACTGTTCAATTGGATACTTCTGATAATGATTATGAGAGACAAGGATATTTTGAAAGTACTGTACGTAGACATGTTGAAGAAAGTTCTGCACAACCAGTCAAACAAATATTTCATCGACCAACAGACATGTCCAATGCATCATTAGCACGATTTTCATTAGGTAAAGCTCGTCTTGATCCTCATCAAATAATACCAAGTGAAGTAACAACAATACGCAATCATCCAACTGCTATTACAATGCTTCGGTATAATAAAATTTTCATTCAATCAATTTGTATTTGTTTTCCTTTTCTAGACATGATCAAGGTCCTAATGGAGAAGTTGTACCACGTTTTACCGAACGTTTAGTTACAGATCGAGCACTTCGTGGTCGATTAGGTCCAGGAGGTAAATTTTAATTATTTGATGCTATATTTTTTTCATTTATTCATTCATTTAGGCATATTAAATCCTGAAGAAGATTGCAGAGAAGCTGAAAATTATCTTCGAAATATAGGACGTTTATCAGCACCTGCAAGTTTATCTCATTCAAGAAAACACGAATCTGGTAGTCATTTATCAAGACGTGATGAACTCGCCCGTCGTTTTATGTATACATCAACTCAACAAGCAGCTATTGATGAAGTTCCATGGGGTTCGTCCATTTATATAATTATCTCATCAACTAAACAATTTGTTTTTACTTTATATAGATTCGAAAGTACCACCAAAATTATCTATGCCATCATCAACATACGAAGTACATGGAAGTGATCCTGTTTTACAATCTAAACGTTTAATATCACTTCAAGATGCTCGTACACGTCAAATTCTTGAATGGGATCGTGTACAATTACGAAATCTTAATTTCTATCGAAAACCACTTGAAAATGTTGCACCATTACCACGTGCAAATCATATATCTGGTTATTCCGGTTCAATTGGTGGTGATAATATACAAGATATTGATAATCCAACAGTTGATTTTCAACCATATACATTAGTACGTAGTGAGCAACCGAAATTTGGTATTAACCCATTGTAAGTTTTATTTTTCTTCTCCTCTTCTCTTTTGGCAAAATAAATATATTCTAGCAAAACAAATATTCCATTCTATACTGGTAAATCACATTGGACTAAAACTGATCCTGTATCACATTATGATTCTCAAGGCCAAGCTTATACAACTTCAGCAGACTATCATAAGTATAAAATTTAATCTTCATTGAAATTTTTATTTTTACATTCTTTTGTTTTTTAGACCATTTACAGTTGATAATACATCTTATCGTCATACTGATTTAAATGGACAATTATCACGATCAGTAACAACTGTTCTACCACAAAATCCATTTAATTATATGAATGTTATATCTACAACAACGAATGGATCATTAGATACGCGTTCGCCTGTTTTAATTAGAAGTTTACCTCGAAGCACAGTATCACCATCCAAAACTCAAAAAACGAATGATAATAAAGAAGAAAAACCTGCTAATATTCAAAATAAAGAATAAACAGTATTATACGAACAATTCGTTCTTTTTTTTTCGGTGCTGTTCACTTGCTTTTCTTTTTTTAA